CCAAATTGCTGACCAGGATTGCTTCCAGGGAGCATAAAACTCCCTTGCTAGAAAAACTCCACTGGCTGTTTCTGGGCACAATTCAAAGTGTTTATTATGACCTACAAAGTGCTACACAGCTTAGGTTCAAGCTATCCGATTGTACTGTATTCCCTTATATGAACCTGTCTGGGTTCTGGCATCTTGTGAGGAGTCTCCCTTCTTTCATGCCTGCCACCCTCACAGGTACACAGGAGAGAGCGTTCCTGGTGCCTTCTCCCAGACTCTGGAACTTCCTCCCTGAAGAAGCTACTGTAGACTGGCTCCCTCTGGCAGGTGATGACCTTCTTGTTCCAAAAGGCTTAGGGAACTAACTGCTTTTTATCAATGAGCTAGTGCTGTGCTGTTTATATTGTAATTATTTGTATGTTTTAAACAGTTTTTATATATGTATACCGTTTTAATGCTATCACTGTTTATTTTTAATTAAGGATTTCCCTATGTTTTTAGCAATTCTTTTTATCCATAAGCCACCTTGGGTCCTGTCAGGTGGAAAAGGCAGGGTATAAAGAAAGAAACAACAACAACAACAACAACAACACAATAAAGGCAAAAAAAACCCCACCAATATATTTCTTGGAATATATTATGTTCCAAAGTTTTTTTGGATCTGCTTTTGTCTGAAAAATGCCATGTTACATCCCCTTGCCCTCATGGCCACTGGACAATTCTTTTCCATTGGCTAGGGGGAAAACCTGCTGGAGAGCTCATTGTGTTGTTGTTGTTGTTATATTTTATTTGTACCCCATCCATTTACTGGGGTGCCTCAGCCACTCTGGGCAGCTGCCAACATATATAAAAGTGCAATAGAACTTTATAAATTAAAAGGCATCCCTACACAGGGCTGCCTTCAGACAGTGGCGGAGCTTCATTGCACTGGCACTGGGGGCTGGTGTGCGTCCTGGGGGCGGGGCATGCCGCCTGCAGGGACATGGCACCCAGCGTGGGCAGGGAGCAGCCGCAATGGCACCCTAGTGGGATTGTGCTACCAGGGGCGGTATGCTCCGCCCACATTCCTCTTCCTTTGCCAGTGCCTTCAGATATCTTCTAAAGGTTATATAGTTACTCATCTCCTTCACATCTGGTGGGAGGGCGTTCCACAGGGCGGGTGCCACTACTGAGAAGGCCCTCTGCCTAGTTCCCTGTAGCTTCACTTCTCACAGTGAGGGAATCACCAGAAGGCTCTCAGAGCTGGATCTCATCCCATTGATCCTTTTCAGGGAGTGGCTTCATCCTTAGCCAAGATGGGGAACTTCAGGCCCTTAGGAGTTGTTGGACTTCAGCTTCCATCAGCCCCAGCTGGCACGGCCAATGAGCAGAGACGATGGAAGCTGTACTCCCAACATCTGAAATGCCACAAGTTTCCCAACCTTGCTCTGAGGTAGGCTCATAAAACAGACAACAAAATAAGATACTCATGAAGTCTAACTTTTGTGATTTGACCACCATTATGCAATTTATAATTTGTGTGGAAAGAGGAAAGGATTCAAGCGCCTCATGGTTTGTGAGGCTCTTCAGGGAAAGTGTGTGTAAGGGTGAACAAGGAAAGACCTGCAGAGGTTTCTATAAAAAGCACACTGATCAATCCATTTGCTCTTCATAGCACCACACCCTCTGGAATTGCTGTTCCTTCTCTCAGAACATCCACCACCTTGGTTGCAGGAAAGCAGAGGGACAAAAAGAGACAGTTTGGATTGTCTTGCATCACAGTCTTTGGTTGTGTACACACTGTCAGCTTAGAAAACAGGTGAGGTTGTGTTAACACTATACCTTTAAAGTACACTCCAAGCACATTTCCCCCTCAAAGCATTCTGGGCACTGTAGTTTGTTAAGGGTTGCCAGCAATTGTAACTCTGTGAGGGGTAAACTACGGCACCCAGAATTCTTGCAGGGAAAGAATGTGCCTTAAATGTATAGTGTGTACACAGCCTAGTTCATTATTTTCTTCCATTCAGTTTGAAGCTGGTTGTGTGTGTGTGTGTGTGTGTGTGTGTGTGAGAGAGAGAGAGAGAGAGAGAGAGAGAGAGAGAGAGAGAGAGAACAGCAAAATACAGCATTTCCTAAGAAATGACAGGATACAGTACAGTGGTACCTCGGGTTACATACGCTTCAGGGTAACAGACTCCACTAACCCAGAAATAGTACCTCAGGTTAAGAACTTTGCTTCAGGATGAGAACATAAATTGTGCTCTGGCGGTGCAGCAGCAGCAGCAGGCCCCATTAGCTAAAGTGGTGCTTCAGATTAAGAACAGTTTCAGGTTAAGAATGGACCTCCGGAATGAATTAAGTACTTAACCTGAGGTACCACTGTATAGATACGGATTGTGGCTAACACAGAATGTGTACACTTGCTTCCTAAATCAGCAGTGGAAGGGCACTGAATTCAAAGAAAACAGGTGTGTAGAGAGATAATATCCAGCCAGTTGTCACTGTAGCAACAAAACCAGGTAGGAGTGTTGGTTTGGAAGGTTCTGTGGCTGGAGAAGAAGCACCAAGGCTTACAGTTCTGTGATGGATTACAGGGAGAAACCTTCAGATGGCTCTATTCCCTCCTTCGGCATACAGCTGATTTGCCCCAGGTAAAAAAATAAATCCTACCAATGTGTTTGAAACAACACCGCCGAGCCCAAACGACAAAAATAATGGGAATAAAGCCCAATAAAACCTTTATCTATAGGCAGGATGAGGCTGTGGTCATATGAGGTAAGCCTTCAGGGCAGAGAACTTTATAGGAAAGGTTTCTAAAATACACACATCAAAGACGGACGGACAATGGTTGTTCGGTTTATCTCAGCAGGGAGTCTTTTATACAAGGAGGAGGAGGAGAAAAGCCCAAGACAATAATAATGCCTTCACAACATGGGAAGGTAGGCCCACCCTGGCCATTCAGTGCTGCCTCCATCTTGTGGCTCAGCGGCGCCAGAGGAAGAACACAGAAGTCGCTGGCCTTTAAAAGATGCAAGAGCAGCCTTCTTTTTCCTGGAACACACACTTCCTCGGCGCGTCGCTTGTTATTGGTCTCCCAGCCCCCCCCCCCATCTTTGCTGACTCAGAGCTTGCTGGAGATTATTCAGACTGGAAGTCGCATCATTTTTCTCCCGGCTCCATCATTAAACGTTAATCACTGGAAAGGGGAATTAACTCTTTTGTTCGCCCTTCGGGATGCGTAGGAAGCAAGCGGCCCGACAGTCTGGCCCTCAAGCAGGGTTGCTGTTGAGGCAGCCGATAAAACTATCAAGATAGGTCATGGCGTGACAGCATGGGTTGTGCTGCAGTCGTGAGACGGCCCAGAAAAATTAGAATGCTATGGAGCCAGGGGCCCATTTCATACCTTCCAGCATTTCTCCAATGAAAATAGGGACATCCTATTCCACATTAGGAAACTTCTCCCGCATTGTGTCTCCTGCACGCACGGATGTCATATTAACATCTACATGGTGACATTGAGCCAATTGCAGCCTCTCCGCCTAACCTACCTCACAGGATTGTTGTGAAGAAAAAAATGTGCAAGGGAAGGGATTGTGTACAACAGCTTCCACAGACAAATGGAATGAAATAGAATTTTAGCTGTAAGCTGCTTTGAGTCCCTGTCAGGGGAAAAGGTCAAAAAATAATAATAACAGAAGGTGTGAGAAAGATCAGGAACATACTAGAGAGTAAATCCTATTGAACTCAGTGGGGCTTAATTCTGAATAAAACTGTTTAGGATTGCAATGTCTTTACCTGGGAGTAAGCACCATTGAATACAGTGTGCCTTACTTTTGAAAAGACAGTGTAAGGCTCCATTTAATAAAGGAATTGACGCTCCATGAATTTCCTGAAATACTGCTGGCTGCCGATGCATTGCAATTCAATAATTTAAAGTGGATTGGTGACATTTTCCTTCAAAATTATAGGAAGGGCTTTGTATGTCAGATTCACCATTTCCTTCATTTGGTGCAGGTATTTTACTTTCAGTAGAAACAGGACTCTGTTTTTGCACCTGCACATACCTACACACACCTAATTGTTCTCTGAGACGTTGAGGGGAGGAAAAAGGAAAACCCGGGACATTCCAGGATCAAATCAGAAACTTCTTTAATTCCAGGACTGTCCCTGGACACTTGGAGGGTATGCCATTTATACAACATGTTACCCTAACTGCTCTTGTCGAACTCATTCCAGTCTCTTAACTAGAGGGCATTAAAAGACAGAGCCACAATTTCCTACACCTCTGGATATGGCCACCTCACCCTGTCTTCACTCTGGGATTGGGGATTAAGTAAATGACAGTGGTGGACATCTCTGCTATGCAAAGGAACATTCCCTAGCATGTTGCACGACTTGTGATTATACAGAGCCAAGTGCAGCCCATGTATTGTGGCTTGACAGCTGCTTGAAAATCCCCTCCTTCCATTTTGCAATCCCAGACAGGTAGCAGGAACAGCAGTGCTATTTTTCTAGAAAAAGAGGTGCCAGAACTCACCGTGAACTTCCCCTTGTTCTCTTAGAACGGCAATGGCACCTACCTGAGATCCTGATCTTTTATCAGGATCAACTAAAATGTCACAACCGTTGCAGTACAGTCGAACCTTGGAAGTCGAACTGAATCCGTTCCGAAAGTCCGTTCAACTTCCAAAGCATTTGACTTCCAAATCACGGCATCTAACTGGCTGCAGGAGCTTCCAAAAGAACTTGTTGGACGTTCGGCTTCCCAAAGAACATTCGGAAACTGGAACAGTCACTTCTGGGTTTTGATCATTCAGGAGCCAAAACGTCCGAGTTCCAGAGCGTTCAACAACCAAGGTATGAATGTAGTCCTTTCAACAATCTATAGAGCAATGGAGGCAAATTCTGCCCTTGACATTGGGTGGGTGACCTTGACTAAGGAAGATTTGCTCTGCCTGTAGGAACACCTTTTTAGTCACACATCACCCCATCAAGGTCACGATGATGGGTATTTTGCTAGTTAATAATAACAGAGGAGAAAGGGGACAAAGTCTTTTTATTTGCAAACATGGGGGTACAAACTTGCTTTTAAGATGAGGTTTTCAGGGTGCTACATCCAACAAGGATGTTCTGCATTTGGGTAGCTACCTCACAGATGCTTGGTGAACTTGCAGCAGCACAGATATGGCCTAATGGGAAATATGGTCTGCCTCATTATGATTGCCAGGCTGGTAATTCCAGTGCCCCCTATTCTGTCTGCTGTTGGTAGAGCACCCGTATGATTTATAATATACTTTATTTTACCATATTCTGCCGAAGCAAATGCCAATGTATGATCCACAGAAGCCCAGAAGGCTAATTCTGCAACCAGAATAAACAATGTCTATCAAGCAGAAAGTGCAAATTTTGTTCCTGTTCTGGTACTGGAATAATTATTATTTATTAGGTAGGGCGTGGTCTGATAGACAGAGTGAGCATTATGGGGCACAGGACAAGTGCTAATAATAATCATCATACAGATGGTGGTTAGAGGTCAAATACTGTGGAACTGAACAGAACGCAGAAATCTCACATTCTGCATACAGAAAGTTAGTTGTCACTTTCTCCTGAGAATACACATATCCAACAGGTGATATTCGGCTTACATTTTCGTAAACTTCACTGTAAGTGAAGGGGTTGCTACACTTGACGTGTAGTAGATACAGGCCGTCATTATTATATTATAAATACATTAGTATATTTGAAGTGCCCTGTCGACTTTGATATGGTTGGCAGCAGTGCCCACAAGATAAAGAGGTGGAATGTCCTGATTACTTCATGGAAAAGCACACATTCATTATTGCCATGTTTTCTTCTGCTCTGGGTGGTAATAGGTTTTATCACACTTTCTGCCACTACCAGGAAGTCTCAGTCCTGCCAGGAAGCCCCAGCCCCTTGCCTCCCAGTAATCATGACTATAAACTTTCATTTAAAGTAAGATAAACATGCAACTGCAGGGACTTTGTCCCAAAGAACGAAGTCTGTGCTGTGCAGTCACCGCACTTCTTTTCCGAGCAGGCCCATATCTCATGCCAAGAATATGGCAGCCCAATTTGTGCCTTGCAAGTCATTTGGGGCCTGTGGAGAGTTTAAGTGCAACTTCACTGTCCCTTCCTCCCGCCAAACAGCGCTGAGAGCATGGCTATGCAGCAGGGAAGCGAGGAAAGTAAATTAAATTGGGAGCAAAGATATACGACCCACAGCAAGGAAAACTGTGAGAAAAGCACAGGAGCCCTAGCAAATAATTTACAACTACAGACGTTGCAGACACCATCTAGAGGTGTACAGGACTCAGTTTTATTCCAGTGGGGGAAGCCAAACCCCTTTGAATGCAAATCTTTGTCATTTTTAAACCTTTATTGAGATTGGTGAACAGTCTGTTCTTTGCAACTTGTCTCTAGGTTTACTAATGTAACACTGCTTTGGAAAATGCGAGGAATTTAGAGTTAAACCAGACAGGACATGTACATCTCCCTGAATTATTTTTTTTATTAAAAAAAAATACCTCCTTGGGAACTGCAATAGGGAACAGAAGAAAGCAGGGGGAAGGACTGCTTAGACTTTTCCCCTTCTGCTGTTTTTCTACTCAAAACTGTCCTTTCCAAGCAGCCTTTTCCCCATAAGGAGAAAACATAGGATTTTGCAGATGCAAAATCAGCTGAAAGAATATTTTTTATAGTGGGGAAAACGATTGGAGTGAGAAGAATTAGGTATCTACTTTCCTCCCGTGTTTCTGCTTCCAGTTGTAGCCTCTGAAGCACATGCTCATTACAAAAAAACCACAAAACATCAAGGGAAACAGACACAACGCCATGTGCCACCTCAAGCTCAGTCCTTAAGATTCAATCTGCAAAATGCACTGCAGGAGATACTGTCCTTCTCTGCAGGACTCCACACACCTTTGTAAGATCAAGATGAAGGTATGATTGGGAGCCATGCTAACCCTGTAGACACTTAACATAGCTCTCGTTTTAAAAGAAATTTTTGGAAGAGAATTTTCCAGTTGGCAAACAACCATCCACATACTTCCACAGGGAGCTTCCACTATCTCAGAGCCACTTTTTTTTTTTAAAAAAAGACCCAATTATCTTTACAAGTCAAACTTCACAGGCTGCATGGAAGCTCTTGGAAAGGCTGGCTGCATAGGAATTCACTTGGAAAGGATATAGCTGAACAGTTTAAACGGTTCCGTATGCCCCTCAATAGAAAATAGCATCTTTCGGGCTCCAGGAACCATCCCATGTTCTCTGTGAAAGATCCACTCAGACCCTGGAATGAAGAATACAATGCTATGCTGAGGAAACAGAACTGGAAGATAAAGACAACAGCACCAAGTATTTTGCCCCAAAGACCACCAGCAGCCTATTATAACAACTACCACAGTTGCAAATGCCCACTTATCGGCCATTTGAATTAGTTACTTCCTGAAATGGTCCTGAAAGAGTCTATTTGGGGAGCTTTAGATTGCTGCCATCTTGTTGTTGTTGTTGGGGGAAAAACAAATGCTCATTGTTATTATTTTCATTCTAGAGAAAAATAAAAGAAACCCATATATGAGCAACAGAACAAAAATGGACTGATAAAGGCTCATTTCAGGATTGAATATTAAAGTGGCAGAGTTTGAGAGGCCTTTTTTTAAAAAAGAAAGGGGCAAGGAGGAAAATTAAGGGGAGAATTGTTCTGGGTACTCTCAATAGCCCTTTGCCCACAGTCATTGAATGGCACTATAATTGCATTTTAACTCAAAAATATCACCATAGATCAGGTCTCAGAAAAAAATGGGAGGACAATATGGAAACTACTGCAATGCGACAGGCTGGCAAAAATGTCTGGATTACCTGTAAAATTGCATGTATGAATTACATTCATTCTGTATGAAATAGCTCCTATAGTAGCAATTTTCAACATTTACACCCCTGGCTTTATACAAGGTTCTGATGAACTTTACACTTCCCCTGAAGTGCAAGATTTGATCCTGGGTGCAGAAATTTAAACATTATGAGAACCTCAATGTCATTTTCAAAAACGGTATGTTTTGAGCCCTAAAAATGCAAAAGCTTAGAAGTGCAAAGGCCTGTTGAAACCCCTGAAATGAAAATTCAGAGCTGAGCAGAATTTTCAGGAAGAGGTTTAAAGGCCAAAACCCAATCCTTACCTCTCTCCAAAGAAAGCAGAAACAAATGAAGAAGTGTACATACATTTGCCTAACGTACATGGTTTGCAAATAGTTTACATATCAGAAAGCAGTTTTTCTTGTATTAGTGTAGAAGCTTGAATTCTACCCTCCGCCACCCACTCCAAGTACAGTATATGTGCAGTCTTGGAAGATGATTGGAGTGCATTGACTGCATGGATGATTCATTCGTTCATTCATTCATTCATTGAATTTATATACTGCCCTATACCCGGAGGTCTCAGGGCGGTTCACAAAAAATGATCCACTTGCCTTAAAAGTTATGGTTCTCCCCAGCGCCTTCAGAAATGTTAAACTTCTGCTAATGAAAACCTGGCAGCCACACTCGCCGGTTACCTGTTTACAGAACTCTCTTCCAACACTGGGTCGCTGTTTTTTTGGGACTGGTTGTTCATCCGTGAGATCACCAGCAGGTCTTGCAAGCTGTGCTGCTGAACCATCGGCCTTTGTGTGATGAGGTGTGGGTTGTAGTATTTTGTTGGCTTCTTGTACGAAGCGCTCCTGCAGCTCAGGATTTCTCTTGGGAGCGAGGCGCTTTCTGTGTAGCACAAAAACCAAGATTTATGTGCTGCGATTGAATATGCACAGTAGCATCACCAGACCATATTTTTTTTTGTTTTCTTTTACTGGATCTGACAGCAGGTAAGAAAATAAGATGGAACGTGTAAGCACAATGGGGCTCCTAACCTGGGTGTTTCCTCTGTCAACATCAGGCATATTCTCCAGCAAGTACAGGCAAAACCACACAACCTACCTGCCATCTGCCTATCTACTTCTGTCTCACAATCATCTACCAGGTTTGTTCAGAGCTGGCACCTGTTTTGTGGGTCCCAGGTAAGAGATCACCTGCACTCACCCCTGCCCATCTCATCCTCACTACAAAGAAAAAGAGGGTATCTATCTGTACAGACAGCAGACCTAATACAGTATGAGTCTCCACAACAGCAAAGATTCAGAGTCAGAATTGATCTTAGAATCATAGAATCATAGAGTTGGAATAGACCACAAGGGCCATCGAGTCCAACCCCCTGCTAAGCAGGAAACACCATCTTATGGCATCTAACGCCAGTTGCAGGTGGAGAGAGAAGTTACACAGATATTGCAGTGCCAATGTAATGGAGTCATTGCAGTGCTACTGAACTCCTTCTATTTCTGGGAGAAGAATGATGTAAGAAGGCATTCATTTTCTGTGCTGCCCTGTATCTGTCACAAGCAACGTCTGGGCTGAATTTCTGAAAATCGTTTAAAATGTCTGGGCAACCCACGTCGGAAATATGTCAACCCTAAATTATAGAACTTACACAAGATACATAATGAATTATGTAACTTGTGTTGTCATTATGTTATTCCACCCCATTCATGCAAAGGGATCAATGCAAAATGTAAGAAAAATATAAGCAATTATGTATCATTCATGGACCGAAAGCAACAACAGTGAATTGCCCAACAGGTTTGCCCATTGCTATTTTCCTAGAAAAAGAGGTGCTGGAATTCACCACAAACGCCTCCCTTGTTCTCTTATAATGGTGATGGCGCCCACCTGAGAGGTGCTGGAATTGAGTTCCAGTAAGTTCTGGATGAAAAAAGTTGTGGACTTGCTGGACTGATTTCCGTTCCGGACATGGGACGAATAAGCAAACACTGTCAATTTCTGTTTCCGTTTCTGTTTCCATTGGAATTCCCTCACATCCCTAGCTCCTGTGGCCAAGACCTGATTGCTCAATGCGCTAGCTGCATATGAACCACAGTTTGGCATTACAAAGAATGAGCTGCGGTGAGACTTGGGTTTGTCCTCCCCATCTGCCACAACCTACGCAGATCTTGTACCAGCTCTTCTCTGATATGTGGCCAGGGGGATAACACTACGGTCACTGAGGTCTAGCTCCGAGGGCCTTCTGGTGGTTCCTTCACTGCGAGAAGTGAGGTTGCAGGGAACCAGGCAGAGGGCCTTCTTGGTAGTGGTGCCCGCCCTGTGGAACGCCCTCCCATCAGATGTCAAGGCAATAAGCAACTATCTTACTTTTAAAAGACATCTGAAGGCAGCCCTCTTTAGGGAAGTTTATAATGTTTGATGCTGTATTGTGTTTTTATTATTCAGTTGGGAGCTGCCCAGAGTGGCTAGGGAAACCCAGCCAGATGGGTGGGGTATAAATAATAAATTATTATAATAATATTATTATTATTACTGAACCACTCTACACACCTGGAAGATGTGAACTGGAAGTAGTGAATAAGCAGCACCTATCCCCCTCCCCCCATGCAAAACTTCTTGGATGCACCCCAAACCCAAGAAATCAAAATCCTGAACATTTTAAAACAACCAGGCAGTTCTGTACAACATCTCACATTCTAATGGATCAATATATCTATGCATGTTCTGCAGACGGGGCTGGCCCGAGACATACTGCTGCTGTAGGCAAATCACCCCAATGCCACCAGCTCCCCAATTGCGACACTCCCACGACTGTGCCCACTCTGCTGCCAGCCCTGCCCCCGCCACTGCACCCTTGCCTGTGGCTGCACCTGCGCTTGCTGCTGAAGATAGTGGCAGTGGTAAGGGCACAGAAGCAGCAGTAAAGGCAATGGCGCCATGACGATGGCACGGGGACTGGCAGCAGTGCAACGGTGGTGGAGGAGAGGGGGTGTAGGGCCGGGGGGGGGCAAATCTGCTGCCCGAGGGCAAATGGTTTCGGCTGGAGCCCCATGGATGGGCTGCCCCTTATGACAGAGATACAATGCGCTCAAAGTGACAGGATGCCAAGAAAACGGCTCTCACGTGCTCGGCTGACCAAGTGATGAGAGTGCTGCTGCAAGGGAAGTCTGAGTTTTCTTTCCTTTGGTGCAAAAGTCAGCTTGCTGAAGAATTCGGAGGTCAAGAGGGTTCCTTTTTCATTGTTGTTCCCATAGAACGTTCTCATCCTCGGGGTGACTGAGTTTGGGGAGGCTGTGTTTTCTCTGACGTGAAACCGGAAGGAGTGTTCTTCAAACGGACGGAAGTTCTTAATAGGCGGACTTCTGCAGCAAGGCATTTTGGTCACTGTCGAACTCTTCGCACGAGGAAGGGCCATTGCTGGAAAATATTTGGAAGCACATGGGCTCTCCTTACCGCACAACGCTTTTGCAAACTCATCTGTTGGCTGGACCTGGCAAGGGAAAGAAGGAAGGGCTATTACGGAGTCCCTGTTGCAAATGCCTGACAGACCTAAGGTGCTTTGGGATTCATCTGAATGGAAAGTGGCATAGAAACACAACCAAAGCATCAGATCAACCTCGCTGATAACGCAGCTGTTAGAGACCCAGGAAATAATACAGTTGCCACACACTGGCTTAGACTTTTTGCACTTAAGAGTGAGTAACCTAAGTTTCATGTTGGTGTCTAGGTAAAGGTAAAGGGACCCCTGACCACTAGGTCCAGTCATGACCGACTCTGGGGTTGCGGTGCTCATCTTGCTTTATTGGCTGAGGGAGCCGGTGTACAGCTTCCAGGTCATGTGGCCAGCATGACTAAGCCGCTTCTGGCGAACCAGAGCAGTGCACGGAAACGCCATTTACCTTCCGGCCGGAGCGGTACCTATTTATCTACTTGCACTTTGATGTACTTTCGAACTGCTAGGTTGGCAGGAGAAGGGACCGAGCAACGGGAGCTCACCCCGTCGCGGGGATTCGAACCGCCGACTTTCTGATTGGCAAGTCCTAGGCTCTGTGGTTTAACCCACAGTGCCACCCGCATCCCTCAAGTTGGTGACTACCAGACTGATAAAAATACCTGGCAGAAACAAAAATGGAACCAATGCCTGGAACCAATGTAGTTTCTCAACCCTCCCTCCCTCTGAATACAAGAGCAGCCTGGGACCATCCAAAGAAGCTGAAAGTTAGATCAGGAAAGACAAAAAAAAGGAGTACTTGACACAGCACAAAGTTAAACTATGGAATTCACTCCTAGTCGGCCCAGATGGCTCAGTTGGTTAGAGCATGATGCTGATGACACCAAGGTTGCAGGTTCAGTTCCCATATGGAACAGCTGCAAATTCCTGCCTTGCAAGGGGTTGGACTAGATGATCCCCAGGGTCCTTTCCAACTCTACAATTCTATGATTCTACGATAAGATAGCATGGGATGATTTGACATATTCTTGGAGGGCAAGGCTATCAGCAGATACTAGGCATGATGCCGATGTTCTACAGCAGGCATCCCCAAACTTGGCCCTCCAAATGTTTTGGGGCTACAACTCCCATCATCCCAGTGGTCAGGGATGATGGGAACTGTAGTCCCAAAACATCTGGAGGGCCAAGTTTGGGGATGCCTGTTCTACAGCCACTGTTGGACACAGTGTGTCTCATTATAGCACTCATTGGGAATTGCGATAAATTGTCAGGATGATGTCAGCGGCTCCCGGATGGTTGCCCAGGAAAGTATAAAGGCAAAGGAAAGTTTCTTGCCGTCCTTTTTTATTTCAATCTTTACAGAGAGAAGCTATAGAACCCAGCCTCTTGTATAATGGCATTGTCCCTAGTGAATCTCCACTCCCCGTCTCTCCCACTTCCTCATTCGTCACCTTTACGGGTGCTGCAACATGCCCTCTGTCTTTGAGCTCTTTGCTCTCCTACTTTTAAGGCTCACCAGGTTCTGGGAGATGGAGGGTCTGGAATGCTTTCTCATGACAACGTGTCAGCTGGGTGTTGTTCCGGCTCTCCCATGATTTCCCTGTTTTCCCCCTCATCTGCCTCTGAGCTGCCACCTCCCTCAACCCCCTTTGTAAATCTATACTGTCTTCCTCCTCCCCCTCCCTGGAAGGGTCCACCATTCCTCCTCTGCCCTCAGTCCCTGACAGAAATGAGGAGAGTGCTGCTGCCAGGGTGGATAAAATTCAATGAATTAAAAAAATTAAAAATTGGATTTTTAAAATTTAAATTGGATTTTTAAAATATAATGCTTTTGGAGGAAAAATCTTTCTAAAGATAGTTTTCTATTTAAGATACATTATAGTCCAAAAGGTATTCAGCAGGAAATAAGGATTTGTTTAAGTTTTTCATGTGTGCTAAAACTCAAGCTAAGTTGTTTTTTTTTTAATTGTTTAACCACATCAGTTAAAAAACATGGATACATATGCTATAATGTTATTGTTTGAGCTAAATAAATTGTTTAAATTGTTGTTAAGGAAATTATTATTTTTCTTCTTCCAATAAAGTACAGCAGAAAAGTTGTCCAAATATAAACAGTTAGCTTATTAAACCTCACAATAATTATCAGTCTATGCATTTCTAATAGTATAACCAAATCAGTCATTTTTTATATAACTGTAAAAACTATGAAAATTTATTATTCCAAAAATGAAAATTTCATCTGATTGTAAATACTGTATTAAGTTTATACCAGGATGAATGAGTCTTTTTGTAAAAATAATAATGATTTAAATCAAGTCTTACTGACTAGTGATTTAAACTGTGACTTAAATCAATTTGAATTCAATCAAATCCACCCTGGCTGCTGCACTCAGGTCTTCCTTGCAGGCTTCACAAAGGCACCTGGTTGGCCACTGTAAGAATAGGATATTGGACTAGATTAGCTTTTGGGCTGGATCCAGCAGGACTCCTCCTTATGTTCTTAACATGAAGTCTATGGACCCCTATCATATTTGATCAAGAGTTTTTTCCAAATGGATTGCCCCTCCTTTAGGGGTGTTTTTCTTTCTCTTTATATTATTAATAATATAAAAATACACCAAATAATTCAGCCCGCCGGAAGGGAAAATCTTTTAAACAAATCAGGGCAAAAGGCCTGTTCTGTGTTTGTTGTGTGGTGAGGCACGAGATCCAATTCAGCCATAATTTTACAACAGAAACACAACTTTATTACTTACTCCAGATATAAAGTTCACATCTGTTGCAGAATGGTGGCTGTTAATGGTATTCCTCAATTCTGGATTGGAATTATACTGCTCTTGGATGCGGGGTGCAGTCTGTCTGGTAAGGTCAGGCACAGAACTGTAAGGTCTCACGGGTCGGTTTTCAGAGGTCTTTGGGCTGCTGTCTGTCTCATGGTTCTGAAGCTGAGAGGTGCTCGAAGAATCACAAGTCACTTCTTTCTTGGGTTCTTTCTCATCTGCAAAATGTTCAAGCAGGAGGGTAGTCCCGGGCCCAGCCTCTGAACAATCCTCAGGCTGAATAAGAGGAAAAATAAAGACCAAGCAAGGTCAAATTCAGGCATGAAATGAAATGTGTGTGTATGCCCTACAAGTCCACAAACTCTAAATTACCGTAGTTCAGAATTTATTAGTCGCTAGTCATCTGTTTAGACACGCAAGTACATATTCCTATTTTCTTTTTTTTAAATCACATGATTGTTTGGGAAGCAATGAATACAGAGAAAGAAATATAGAAGCAGAGCGATTGGAAGGTGAAAGCAAACCATTGGCTCTGGGAAAGTCATAGAATCATAGAATTCTAGAGGATCTCTAGTCTACCCCCCTGTAAGGCAGGGATATGTAGCTGTCCCATAAAGGGATCAAACCTGAAATCCTGGCATTATCAGCATCGTGCTCTAACCAACTGAGCCAACATCCCATCTTATTCTAAACTAGGGTTAGAGCAGAGAGTTTGCATTTGAATGTGAACCTTCTAATTTTCAGTTTCCAAAAAAAAAAAAAAAAAAAAAAAGTGAACTGAAACACAGCCATTCTTCAAAATGCAAACTTATCCGAATTTTGGAATGCAGTTCTCCAACCAAATGATATTTACAAAAAAAAATCATTATATTTGGGGGAAGTGTGCAAAAAAATGAATTTATTCATGGAAATAACAGAAAAATGCATCCTATTAGGGGAAATTGCTTACCAAAATGTGCACATTAATTAAAACTGCCTATAGACATGTGTTTATTCGGAGTTCACACTAATGAACGAATTTTCATTTGAGGTTTTGTTTTAAATCAAATTTATGCAGAAATGTAGAAAACCGAATATAACTTAAGAAAATGAGAAATTGAGAAAATGAAAACTGAGAGATCCATTTGTCCCTAGCCTGAACTACCTCACAAAGCTGAGAGAATAAAATGATATATCTCCATGCACACCATCCTGTGAATTTTATAAACATCATCTGGAACCCCTTGTAGGAAAAGTGGAAAGGCGATATAGTAAGTAAATAAAACAAACTGGAAGCACAGCAATAAGATTGACTCAGCACACAATATGACAATAGCGGAAGAGGGATAGAAAGTCAAATTTAGCAGGGAATTTCCAGTTGGCCAGACAGAAAAGATGCAATGGAAGAGGAGGCCTGCAAGGAAGAAGCTACAACAGGAGACTAGAGCTCTGGGCAGTGGCGTAGCGTGGGGGGTGCAGGGGGGGCCGGCCGCACCGGGTGCAACATCTGGGGGTTAGGGTTAGGGGGCGCAAATCCACAGGTTAGGGGGGGCAAATCCATGGGTTAGGGGGCGCAAATTACTTGCCTTGCCCCGGGTGCTGACAACCCACGCTACACCACTGGCTCTGGGAAGGGTCTTTAGCAGCAGATAGAGAGAGGAAAGGGTAGATTCTGCAGATGTTGAAAAAGTGACAATGAGAGAGCTACCCCAAACCACCAACATGGCAAGCAAGTTGGTTACCATCTGAGCCATTTGAACTATATAAGGGCAAAGCTTAAGTTCCATGGAATTCCATCTGGCTTAAGATGAATTTCCTGCAGGATGCTGATTAATCCAAGTTAGTCTGAATATGGCATTTGGTGGCGGGGAGTCGTTAAATTAGTTTACAGATGCAGAGAATTGAGAGGGTATTTCAATTTACTTTTCCAGAGATAGTAGTGTGTGTGTGTGTGTGATAATTCATTAGCCAATACATTTCTGTGTTAGTCCTACCTGGGCAGAGACTGGCACCACACTTGATCTGTTCACCATCTTTTGCCTGGGAAGCTTTATCTTTTCTCCACCCGACTCTCCCTGCTGCTCGGCCTTTTTCTCTCTCAGCAGAGCTGCTTTCTGTTCTTTCTTGAGACGCAGCCCTTGGAGCTGCTGCCTGTTGATGACATTGCAGAGAAGCGTTTGTAACAGTCTCAAGACGGGGAGAAGGCTGCCTACCAGGCGCTGCTTACCGTCGAGATTGCTACACCGTGTTTGCAACCCCTTGAAGCCTCCTAAAAGAATTCCCCCCAAAAGTGCATGGGATCAAGGCCAGGCAGAGTGGCCTTGCCTCTTAAGCCAAGCCCAAACGGTTGCCGATTGTATGAGGGCAGCATAGCAAGACATGGGGCATGTGTTTCTCCAAATTAATCAAGACAAGTGGAGGCAATGGAGTGTAAGTGGCCAGACAATATGGGCCAATTTAGCAGTCCCAGCCACAGGCATGGGAAGGTAGGTAAAAAGGGAAATGTCCAAGGCCTAACTATAGGGCCAGAATGTGATGCAATTATAAAGAAGAGCAGAGCAGGGCCAGCTAAAGTGATGACCCCCAAGTGTTGCTGGACTGCAACTGCCATGATCCGTAACCATTTGCGATGCTGGGTGAGGCGGATGGGAGTTGGACTGATAATGCTACAACACTTCCAGGCGAATTGCAAAAGATAAAAATGGTAGGTGCATGCAGTCAAGTCACCCCGTGGCTGTGTACTGATCTTTGTGAAATGTCTACACCGGAACTCTTTGATCTTTGAAAATGTTTGCGCATTCAAACACCTGTTGGAATTTTATTTTTTATAAGAAGCATAAGGGTGAGTGGTAAGACTGCACTGTATTTTGGTTTCCAAAGGAATGTTTTGCTCATCCAAGGTTCTGACCATCATGATTTGTACAGTATTTATCATTGGGCACTAAAGATAATAGAACATTGAAACACATCTGGCCATTATGCCTTATGGAGCACTCATTTTTAATTGGTGGTGGCCTATAAGTGAGATCAAGAAGAGCTTTCCTCCTATCTGTAGTCATTATACTGTGCATTTTATCGTAATGAATACCAAAAATGTATGCCTATGGCTGGGCCGTATATCAATATATTGTCCAAAACCAGTTTGAAGTCCATATCAAGATATCAGTTTCATAATTTTTGACCTGGCAATATATTGCAAATCACGATGAGTGTGTGTGCTATGCAAAAATCACAATGTTGGAAAAACTGTGAAGTTAGTCAATGCCTCAATATAGTTCCATCCTTATTTCAAGCATTGTGATATATCACTATATCACAATGTTTGTATGGTGATATATCGTGATGTTGAAAACCAGATATTGCCCAGCCCTACTGTTCATCTCTACATATTTCCATCCTTATTTCAGACATCGTGATATAGCGATACATCACAATGTTTAGCTTGTGATATATTGCAATGTGGAAAACCAGGTATCCCTCAGCCCTAATGTCTATACAGTCTATAATTGAATAATTGAATAATTGACCTTAACTCTATCCTTTTTCAATTGCCTTTTTTTAAGGGCAGTGAAACTCCTTTCCTTTGGGAGCTGGAGTCAAGCAACACATTGGGGGTACCACGTTGGCTACCCTGAAGCAAAGTATGCTTCCTTTCACAACCAGGGCCACACAATCTGGTGGTGGGGACTTCTAGGACATGGAATGTCAGCGTCTGAAGGGTATAGTTTATTTCATCTCTTTCATTATATTTCCATGCTTCTTTTTACCCACATGAGTCACAAAGCGGCTTACATGCAATAATTAATAACATAGTCGAACATCACAACTGCAACGTAAGTAATATAAAATAATCATCAGTAAAAAGCACCTTCTATAAAACACCATTAACAGAACAACTTTTAAAAATAGGATAAACCGCACAACCAATTTAGCAAGAGGGTTCTGGAGTTAATTGGTCAGGACCAAGCGGTGTTTGGGCATATGTAGTTTGGCATCCTCTAACACACCCCTTTTCAAATTTATGGCTCTCAGCGAAGCACTGAAAATAGAGGGATTCGGGGCGACTCAATGAAGCTAACTGGCGCTAAGTAAAGCACTGAAAGCTCACTTTCACACAGCTCCCAGTTCGCTCCTGGAATTCATTACCCCAAGATATGGCTTATTATACTATTGGTTGCTTGCATGGGTTTTGCCTGCTCCCGAGCTCAGCTTGATATGAGTGCTCTTCCTTCCCTCTCCAGAGTTGTGGGGAGGAAAAAGAGGGCTTCTAGGGTTTTAATGAGCAGAAAACTGGGAGCACTTACCCTGCCAAGTGAATTTGGGGAGGCCTGATCCACCACAATATCAGTACTCCTGGGGATCACTTGGTGTGGCAGCAAGAATTGATATTTAAAGTGCAGTTAAACCAATAATTCATGTTTTGCTAGATAGGCACATGATAGGAATACAAAAAGCTCCTCAGAGGGAGCCTTGGATATGATAGAGCCAAGGCTTGTTGAAGGCTTTGCCTTCCCTTCTCCTACCTGGCTGAGGAAGATTGTCTTGGTGCGTATCTTATGGGTATTATCTATTATCTAATATTTAGTCCATTAGATAAGTGGTGGACATTATTGGCATTATAGAACCTCCTAGTTTCTGATGAGACAATGACACTTGATCAATGTGCCTATAGATGTCTGTTGCGTAATTTGCAACAAGACCATCTGAATGTGTGTGGGTGGCACTTCACCTGGAAGTTACATAAACATAAAAACACAAGACACAAAAGCCGTTGTCAGGAAAAAACACACAACACATTAGGGATTACCATGAAGAAAATTGGGGGGGGGGGCGGGGGGAGAGAGACTAGAACTACTAAGTTCAGGGCTGGATGACAATTTAGCAGGTTGTGCTGTGAGACAAGAACATCTGCTGTACTCTTCAAATAGTTGATCAGCCTATAAATTTAGTAAAAAAAGAAGAAAAGATAGCAGCAAAGTTTACCAGCGCCCTGGCTTAAAAAATAAACAGAAAGAAGGCTACCTTGAAATGAAGAAATGGAAAGATTTAATAGTTACCTAGCTCTATACTAATGGCCCATGGATAAGACAAAAAACTGATCCTAGCAGTCTCTCCCTCCCCCCCAACCCCCCCCCCAGCAACCTCAAGTCCTACACCTCCCTTTTATTTAAGACAAAACAGAGAAAAATGACATTTCTTACCTGGCAAACTCTTCACGTGCTCTGGAAGCTACTGTTTCCTGGTAGATTGAATTATTGTGTTGGAAAAACTTGTCGTATTTGTCTGAATCTGAACTGGGGTAAATTCGGCGATAGCCTCCTATATTTTTTTCCTCGTATGTCTCTGCTTGCTGGAGCCAAGCGGCCTGGGAGTTCTTGTATTCCTCAGCCCTGATAAGATCACCCAAGAAAAACGGTTAACAGAGAAAATGTCCACAGTGGGAGACCTCTCCATTTAGTGTTCATGTTGCCATTTCAGCTTTTAAATTATATCTGTTTAACTCAACCCACTAGGACAAAGCTTGTTTATACAGCTTTTAAACAACGTGCAGAGATATACACCATTCACAATTGTATCATATCCCTTTTTCTTATTAAAAAAATGCTAATTAACTAGGTGCAAAGAGCTCTGAAGGAAACCGGTGTGCAGTTTTGGTAGGCCCCCTTCTGTCTCCCTTCCTAGCCCAATACACTAGTATAATTATGGCTTTTGTGTGGTTTTTAGGCAATGTTGCATTCTCCAGACTGGGAAGAAAAAAAGGCCCATCCTTGCAGTCTTTCTATAACATAAGAACTCCGTTTTATCACTCCTTATTTTCCTCGCAGGAAAAGATAAGGAGGGTAGAAAAGAAATAGGACGCTGCCCAAAACCCTGGCGGGATCTTGCAATCCAGCTCTATTTTTGTTCAGTCCAAGCCCTACCCATATATGAGAGGGGACCTAAGCACACTAATGGCATTTAGAAAACTGTAAGAGTGGGAGTCACCACTGGGCTCATTTACACTTTCTGTGTATGTAATCCATGCTTACTCTTTCTTGAACTACTTATACACAGACTGCAGAGGAAACTCAGTTTGAAAGGTGGCTGAAAGAAGAGGCACACTTAAAAAATAAATAAAGTTCTGTTCTTTTAAAATTTACATTGCGGTATGAGGATTCACAAGTTACACTTTTCTGCACCAACTAGTTCTGTTCTGTGCTGATAACTCAATGCTTACTGAAATAGCGAGTTTCCTTTTGCTTTACGCCCTATCTTTGCTGAAGGCTGTGAAACTCTTCTAATATTTCTTTGAAAATTTGCATAGCAGAGACAATAAGGATGATCAAGCCCTGAAGTTATGCCCCAAGTGTAAATGAGCCCTACAGCACAAATATTCACACTGTTGACTAACACACTCTGGACTGTTGCTTGATTTCCCAGCACTAAACACTTTCTGCTGTACGGTAATGTGCAATTTCTTTTATCAGAAGCAAAACCTCAATATTTTACAACCTCATCTCAAGCCTACACACACACACACACACAAACATCTTCCCAGCATATTCCATCCAATTTATCAGGATGGCAGGAATGATGTGGCACAATTGCCCAAATTTAGCTTTATTTTAGGAGTGAAAATAATACTACAAAACTCGAGTCTTGCTTTCTGTGATGAGATGGCATATATGCACGAAACCTGGCCCTATCACAGCCAAAGTACCTGTGAGCTGTATTCTCTCCCCAATAGATATATGGACTCATTTTTACGTGTTCCCCTTTGAAAAATGTTCTTCGTTGTTTTGAGTGAGGTGCCGTGTGCTTGCTTATAGGTTAGCTACATTGTCATACAGTCATCAGACTGCTAAGGCAAAAACTAGATGCTAAAATACAGATGCATCTAAAAACAACAGCCAAGAAGCAGAGAAATGCACAATGTTGTGACACCACCAGGATATGGGTAAGTTGTATCAGACATTAGGGTGAAACTAGGCACACGGCTCCATTTTCAGCTGCAGCAATTTTAGTTGCAGCTGAAGTTGCCGGATAATGTGTTGACTTCATCAACACTTTGTTATTTCACTCTGCAAATTTCAATTTTAATACATCTGAGTAATCCTGATTTAAAGAGGACTACTAAATGGACTGAAAGTTATATTAAATATATGCTTATTTGTTTGTTTTTCATACAGCTCATGGAAGAGCCAAAAGATTAAAATCCATTGCATTTAAACACATTTTGCAGATGATTTACAAATTCTTATCTGCATAATCCTAAGAAGCAGAAGAAGAACTGAAAATGTCCCACCTGGATTCCCGATTGGGGCACTGCTTAAGGCGCCTCTGCTTTCCTCGCCGTTTCTCTTCCTCCAATACTTTCCGTTTATCGCATGCACCCAAATTGATAAGAACCAGAGTATCATACAGGAGCTGATCTTTAACTTCTTTGTCCAGCCACGAATCAGTACTGAAGCTTGGAGAGTGATTCACCTGGACAGGAATTAAACCTATATTTGAATTTGCTACAATTTTAAATATATAACACAAAAATTACTGGGAGAAAAAATAACGTTGGAAGATCAAAGACATATTTAGCTGAAACCCACATTTAAAACTTTAAGCGTTGAAGACTGTGTACTGCAATAGCCTTAGGGGCACATCTGAGTTATCTAATTATCAATCACATGCAATTAGCTACCTTGAGAGAGACCCTTGGTGACTGCTCCTTAATTATGGCACTCCTAGAGATTTATCAGAATTCTTGTTTAAGCATTGCTCTACAACTTTGAATTTGCTTGCTTACCACATTTTCACCCCCACTTTCCCTCCTAGTTGCTTAGGAAAGGCTGCAGAATCTTCTTATTTGGTTTCTGGCTTTTTAAGGTTGGGAATAATTAGATTTTGAAGGGCAAAGCTAGGGAGGAGTGAGACAGTTCAATACAGAAGACTGGGGCCTAGAACTGTATTTGGATAAAATACGGTACTAATCAGGGGCATACCCTCCAACACGCCAAGGTGAAAAACCGGGATGCAGAGGCAGACTATTACAACATTAGGCTTATACAGAAAATAAATTGTATCACAAGTTGTCATTTCTGAATGCTTGATGGCTTAGCATGCCATGTAAATTTAATCACACTGAAAACCATAAATGCTAGTTATGAATTTCTTCTTAATTTACTGAAAGGAGACGTGGCCGTTTCCAAAGGTAACCAAAACAAACTTTTAGTCATCTAAAGAAAAAGAAAAAGTACTGTACATTGAATGATACACTGTACTGAACAACTGCTGCTTAATGATAACAAATCAGAAGATTCCTCTCAGGAATAAGAAATTTGTAACCACGGTTAGAGGGCAGGAGGTGTTTTGCAACTCCTTTTTGTTTAAATATTGGAGCGTGTATAATCGTACCGACATAATTGGAACATATAACTGTACACATGATTTTATGGTTACATTTGAATTTGCATTTCTAATGGAAGTATTTTTCATTTTTCTTTTATGTAGTCCAATGTACATTTAAATACATTAAGGTCATTAATAAATTCGGTTTACGATGATATATTTTAATGGATGCCTTGCTTTGTTGGCTTTCTTTCTAAAATTAACAACACCATGAGTCCTTAAAATGGGAAATTTAGAAATCTAAATAAACAAGAAGACAAAAAAATGTAAATCAGAGGCTTCTGCTACAATAGACAGACAACTGGCTTAAGATAAAGATAGGGAAATACTATGGAGTGCAATGTGTAACTACTAGACTATGAAACTGACCATCATGGGACATCATGAGGACAGCTAGCTTAAGCAGCTTGAGTTTAGTATAAAGCCTAAATCCATTAGTGACTATTAGATATGTGACAGCAAAAAGTGAAATCTGCTTGCCTTGGTGAACTTCTCTGTGGAAGTTGGCTGGCTGCTGCCAGAAGACAGAAAATTTAGTTGGATAACCTTTTGCTATGACCCAATTTGGCAGATCCAATTTGTTTTGGATCCTCTTAAAGGATTTGTTTATGGAACCAACTGACTGTCTTCCCAGTTGGGAACGCCAACATCCAAGGGCAAGTGTGATTTATTTATTTTTAAACAACTCCAAATACATTTCCTGTAGCCGAACGCCCTCTGCTGGGCATCCCGATGCTTGGAAGAATTGCCACAGGGCACACGAGCAGCAAACTGACAGAAGGTGGGGGAAAGATCAAAGTGGGTTTTACCAGTGCATTTTGGGAATAACAGCAGCTTCTTTAACCCCCCAAAGTAGGAGAGAGACAGAAAGAGAGCTCAGACGTTTCTGAGTCTAAGCTCAGGGCCATTTGCTTTGTTGGGACCTACCTCGAGCAGCCACGGTTTGAGTTTTCGATCCAGCAAAATGTCAAATCCCAAGATCTCAAAGCAGGCACTCCACATGGTGTGGTTGGGGAAGCAAGTGAGATAGTTATGCTTGATGATAGGATGGGCTGATATCAGTGTTTTAATGACAACATCTTCAATGTCCTTCCATATCTGTTCCGTTTCATAGCCATTCTGCTCCATGTGCTCATTAAAGGTGGACAACTTCCTTGAAAAAATTGGGGAGGGGGGCAGAGAGAGAGAGAGAACATACCTGAAGGACTTGCATTCTGTTTTTCATCCGCTGCAAGTTGGGCTGCTGCAGCCGTAAGCTAAGACCATATGCACAACTTTCCCCTTCACATTAATTAATCCGGATAGCTACCAGTTAATACTTCTAAAACAAAGGGAAAGGCAAGAAAGCCCATCCTTCTGACAGTTTTGAACCATCCAGACTGAAGACTGGGTGATTATACGGGGAGAGGGGCTCTCCCAAAGGGTACCTAGAACTCATATACATTGCTCAAAGTAAAGGTAAAGGGACCCCTGACCATTAGGTCCAGTCGTGGCAGACTCTGGGGTTGCGGCGCTCATCTCGCTTTATTGGCCGAGGGAGCTGGCATACAGCTTCCGGGTCATGTGGCCAGCATGACTAAGCCGCTTCTGGCGAACCAGAGCAGCACACGGAAACGCTGTTTACCTTCCCGCCGGAGCAGTACCTATTTATCTACTTGCACTTTGACATACTTTCGAACTGCTAGGTTGGCAGGAGCAGGGACCGAGCAATGGGAGTTCACGCTGTCGTGGGGATTCGAACCTCCGACCTTCTGATCGGCAAGTCCTAGGCTCTGTGGTTTAACCCACAGCGCCACCCACGTTCCTTTGCTCATAGAATAACATAATTGTAGAGCTGGAAGGGACTACATCTTAAAGCACCATGGAACTCTTATGCCTACCTCAGAAATAGATTACTGTAAATGCTTTCCCCCACTTGGACACGAGTTTCCTAAAAGCTTTGAAAAGTTTCCTAAAAGCTTTGAAAAGCTATCTTTCTGCCAGGTTAGGAGCCGCTAGCCAAACACTTGAAAACTAGAAGGACAGAGAGTGAGCAGATATGATGGAAAAACAAATCAGGGCACTGACAGTGATCCCTTGGCACTGGAGTTATAGGGACATCTGTTCTAGTAACTCCTCCCACTTGTCTCTTGATCTGCCACATTGCAGACCCCGTTTTTTGGACAGCCGCACAGCGTAACACTGCAGAAGTCAGGCTGCACTGCTGATATTTCAGCCGCTTACCGGGAAAGCACAATAATACTCAGGAAAAATACCAAAAGCATATCAAGCCTTTGCCGCAGTGGGCAGAGCACTGCAGAAGAGCCTCAGCCAGCAGACTAACACAGCGCTAGTGATCAACAGAAAAGCCAAGAAATTCTAGAGGGGGAAATATTGAGGCAACAATAATTAGATCGAACTGACCGTTCTGCGCAAGATTTAGAGAGGAGGCTAATTACACCCACCGAAAACAATAAAACAGAGGGCGGCAATCCAGCAATTCCATTTGCAACAAATTCATTTGTATTTCCTTTAGGGGGGGATAAATCCAGGCTCCTCTCGCCTGCTCCAGGCACCCTGCTGTTACTCATCTGAGCTTTTTAAATGATTTATTTCACCTAATGATGGAGAATGCGCCACGTTGCAGCTGAATTTGGAGAAATGTTTCCTAAACACGTATGAAATGGCCATAAAGATTCATGAGAGCAGGCCCCGTAGCGTCCCCCCAGCTGTGATTATTTTAGAAAACATTCTGTACCTCTTGCTACCGGAGTCTGCGTCTCGTACAAAATTAGCGCTGTGCTTGTTAATTGAATAATTAGTCAGGTGCATACAGACGTCGTCCTGTAAATAATTAAACAAACAAGCAGGTTATGAGGCTAGAGAGATTTCTGCTTCCCTTATGCTGTTTCTTCAGGATGTGGGGGGGGGGCAGAGAGGAAGCACCTTTACCTTTACCAGGCTGTGTACAGTATATTGAATGGCCTTTACATCCCTTTTGGACCTACGAAGCTGACATCACTTTCCTTAATTCCAATTGGAATTTTGAGCGCATACCTCTTAGATGGTGGTGGTTGGGGGGGGGTATTTTCAATATTTCTGGACTCCAAACTCCTCCATCAGAATAGATCACATAAGGAAAGTGATGTCACGTTCATAGAATCATAAAAATGAAATACTTAACAATATGTACACAGACGTTCTTCATAAAATACAGTTCAGAATGAAACCAAGGCAAATGACAAAATTATTACCCCCTCCTGCGTCTCAGTAAGGTGGCTGTTGTTCTATTCGGACAATAAAGAGAGCAGACTATTTTAATCAAACCACAGACAACCAGGCTCTGCCTGAGAATTGGCTGTGGCCTCAGACTTCCTTATTGCCTTTAGGGCATGACTATATCTTCCACGCAAACCTATGTAACAGAACACAGGCAAACATGCATTTTTGGAACTCCGCAGGCGGGAGGGATGATTTAGAGTGGAGAAGTAGTGGGCATTAAAAGGCTTAAGCAACATCTTCCTTCTATTACTTCTCTATTCCAAATTCCCCCTCACCCCCCCCAAGCTGTTTAGTTGCTGTTTTTTGTTTTTTTTTTAAAGGCCCCTTCAAAACTAACATTAACAAATAACTTCAGGGTTAGCTCTGTAGGCAAAGGTTGCTGTGCAGGCTTCAAAGGGATAGAAGGTACAAAATATGTTAAAGACCCAACTTAAATCGGTGCAGGAGTTCTGAGCTTCACAAAACGAGTTCTGAGCTTCCCTGGCCCCATGCATTTCCTCATAGTGATGCTTATTTCACAGGACAAAGAAAGAAAGAGTGGGATCTGCAAAGCAGCTCCATCATTCCAGCTGGAGGAATGCTGCAAAGAACTCTTCTGCTTGCAGGTTTCCCACACTTTTGATTTCATCAAACCAGCTGCGTGAGATGCTTCCTTATGAATGCACACCCCTCAATGATTTATGGCTGTTGTTTACGACATTGCTGCATTCCTTTCGATACCACAAGGCTTGGGTATTAATTCTTGGAAAATACAGAGGAAGCACCTGATGAATTATGTGGTTTGAACCAAAAGCCGTCAATATTTCTTACAAGCATGCTTGGTCACGTCAACAGGAGCCACCCTTGCTTACCAAGTTGCTGTGTGGTGGGTCCGAGTAGGCAGACGTCGCAAAGCGCGCTAGGCCCTCTTTATAAAGAAAAACCCGTAGCGGTTCACATGATGTTACCAGCACATAAATCCGAAGGTCAAATTTGAAGCCATCAATGATGAAAGGCTGTGGCAGGGTGAGGGCAGGGAGAGAGATAAAATTCTTAAATCAGATATCTAAAGGGGCAGGAGTAGTTTGATAAATCTGGAGAATGCAACATTGCCTAGAAAACCACATAAAAGCCACTATTATACTAGTGTATTGGGCTGTGGGAGGGTAGGTTCACTGGCTTCCTAAAGCCTTCTGAGTACTAATTCACATGTTGCATTTAACCCGTGGAGGCCAAAATGGCTTGAGTTTCTCTCTTTCACAGAGATTCCAACTGTGTGCATTGACTGATTCAACCCCACCCTTGTTCCATGTGCACACCACACAGAATGTTACAAATAGAGGCACAGCTTTAGTCGAACTCTAGAACTCCCTTCTCTGGAGGTTCACATCTGACCTTTTTCTGGGAACCATTAGGAAATGTCCGTGCTAATAAGCAGAGTTGGAGGGGGCCTTGTAGGCAATCTAGTCCAACCCCCTACTTCTTGATGAAGAAAACCTACAATAACATCAGCTGATGGCTGTCCAGCCTCTGCTTGAAGAGACTAATTACCCCCAGGTAACTGGCTCCATTATTAAACTGCTCTGACTGTTTTAAAGGTCTAACACAGGCTTCCTCAACCTTGGCCCTCCAGATGTTTTGGGCCTACAACTCCCATGATCCCTAGCTAGCAGGACCAGTGGTCAGGGATGATGGGAGTTGTAGTCTCAGAACATCTGAAGGGCCAAGGTTGAGGAAGCCTGGTCTAACATCCTGTATTTCCACACTTTAAAGGTAAAGGTAAAGGTACCCCTGCCCATACGGGCCAGTCTTGCCAGACTCTGGGGTTGTGCGCCCATCTCACTCAAGAGGCCGGGGGCCAGCGCTGTCCGGAGACACTTCCAGGTCACGTGGCCAGCGTGACATCGCTGCTCTGGCGAGCCAGAGCTGCACACGGAAACACCGTTTACCTTCCCGCTAGAAAGCGGTCCCTATTTATCTACTTGCACCCGGGGGTGCTTTCGAACTGCTAGGTTGGCAGGCGCTGGGACCAAGCAATGGGAGCGCACCCCGCCGCGGGGATTCGAACCGCCGACCTTTCGATCGGCAAGCCCTAGGCGCTGAGGCTTTTACCCACAGCACCACCCGCGTCCCATTTCCACACTTTACTTTGCTGTATATTTTAAACCTCTGCTGGGGTTCTCTCACCAAAGAGTACTTGTCCCAAATCTGGATCTTGCCATCCATAAAATTCTCTTTTTATTTACCTGTTTTCTCCCCAAACCAAAACTTACTGTTAAGGGCCCCCCCCAATGGTTAACACCAATGATCATGCCCCTCATGCCATAGAGAAAAGGAATCATGTCCTGGCTGAATGAAAAAGGAGGTAGTGATTGCGATCTTGCTATATATGCACCCACAACATCATTGGGCAGGTGTGGATGCACCCACCATTGCTGGGACCACTTACATCCATTTTCAACTGGACACACTTCTGGGTAATGCAGAACCAATCTACAATAAGCACTTTGCAGGGGCGAAAATATGCACTAGATCTGGATAGTGTGGGGACTATATAGAAAAATCAAGTACTCCATGGATTCTAGAATAAAAAGTCATCCCATCACAGTCTCTTTGCCTTATCCCACTTTCGCCAAGACTCCTGCTTTAGAGTGTTCTGCCTATGTATTCCCCTTCCTTCATCCCCCTTCCTTCTTGAGCACTCCCATTCCCAAATCTCTCCCCAGTCTCAGTCCCCCTCTTAGCGTCTTTCACCCTGATAGCATGCAGCTGCTCTCTCTAGGTGCTGGATGTTAGGACCCTTTCAAAACATCTCCTTCTCTCAGAGTTGGTTCACTGATCAACATTATTTCCGATGGATTGGCACTTCCCTGAAATAGTACACTATGAACATCTTCAGTATTGCAGCAACCAATGACTAGAGCAGGGATGAGGAGCCTCTTTCCTTCCGATGTTGCTGGACTCCCATCACTCCCATCAGCCAGCATGCTGAATGGTCAGGGATGATGGGAGTTGAGCCTGAACTAAAGGGACTCACAGGCAACACAGGCAGCCCATTTCAAAGACTAATAAAAGGGGTTACCTTTGAGATATAGAGCTGGCAGATCATATCCTCTCCAGGTTTGATATCTTTCACAGATCTTGTGATAAAAATGCCTCTGCCTTGACAACCAGAGTCTGGCTTACAGATGTAGGTTTTGTGTTTTTTTGACCTGCCAAATGCTTGCAGTTCTCCATAGCTGAGAGCAGTGAGGAGGAAAGCATAATATACATTCTCATTTGATGTAGTAGCAGACAGTGGCATAATAATAGTTCAAGCTAAAGTAGTGATAGTAATGGGAAATAGGCCTGATACCATCATGAACCACCCCAGATCTAAGGTTGTTTGTTTTCTCTCTCAAGACATTCAGAAGAAACTTTTGCTGCCTTTCACACTAACACTTCCCTTCAGGCCCCTCATCCTTCCGTTCCTCACCAACCCCAGTGATGACCAGATAGTTAAAGGGAAAACAAGATGGCGTCAGTAGTTCTGGCAATATCTTGCAGCAACCACATTTAATGAGTGAGCCATGGGAAAGTTCACACTTCTCACATACACTGTCAGTTCAGAGATACTCATGCAGGCTAAAGCTAAAGGGCATCCTTTCAGCAGGTCAAACCAAGGATCTTGACTCAGAGGAGACTTTTAAATAATCATTCACCTGCTCATCTTCAGCAAGAGATACTCTTCCAGCGAGAAAGAAACCTTTGACAAAATTTGGACCTCTTTTACTTTTGCAATATAGATATTGATGAGGGGAGGAAGAACAGAGTCATGAACAAATTGCTGTGGATTAGGCACTTGTTTTTATTGTTTTTGCAAGGCTGCATTAAAGGATCGGGGTGGACTTTGGTAATATGGCCCCCTGAGCAAGGATGAAGTTTCCTCCCCCGCCCATATTTATTAGTTTCACAATGATTCATTTTGGTACTATTGCTTTTTTATGGATCTTCTCAGTAGGTACCTCTATGAATATAGGCAGTAGTGGTAGGGATCACAGAATTGCAGAGTTGAGAAGGACCCTGAGGATCATCTGGTCCAACTCTCTACAATGTGGGAATATGCAGCTGTCCCTTTCGGGGATTGAACCTGCAACCTTGTTATTATCAGCACCATGCTTTAGTAGTAGTAGTAGTAATTGTTGTTGTTGTTGTTATAATAATAATAATAACCGTGCTAAATATGGCACTGAAAGGATGCTGCATTTTTTCAGAACTGAGTCTGGCAACTAGGCTTTCTCTCCAGATCCTGAGTTGACGAGGACTGAAAACAATGTTGGTAACATTGGGCAGCAGTTAAAATAAGGGGTCTAAGTCCCATCTCTTGGTATCCCACTTTTTGAAGGGCATTTGCCCTCTCCTGCTGCCTCATTCTTTCATTACAACCCTTTAATTGTATTGGTTCCCAGGCCTAAGTCCACATAGATAATGATGCCTGCATCTGAAAATGGATAATGTAGAGATGAAAAAAGATGCAGAAAAGACCAATCAAAATGGCTAGGGGGCTGCGGCATCTCTCCTTATAAGCAGTGCTATTTTCCTAGGAAAAGCGGTGCTGGAGTTCACTATGAACGCCTCCCTCGCTCTCTTATAATGCCAATGGTGCCCACCTGAGAGGTGCCAGAACTAAGTTCCGGCAAGTTCCAGCTGAAAAAAGCCCTGCCTGTAGGAAAAGGTCACAACCCTACAAGAGTGTCTGTATGAAGGTTTGAGGAACGCTCAGATGCATTCATTTGGTTCATTCCACCTCTACAAGTTACAGAGAAGATGTGCCATTTTTCTCACCAGTTGATCTGGTGGGCAGGGAGATAGTGCCCCATGGACAAGACACACAGCCCACTCAGGAAAGTGTCCAGAAGAGCTTTTCCACAGGACAGAATCATTTATGATAAGCTACACAGGGCTTATCCACACTTCCTCTTGTTCCACTGCTTCCCCACCACCCGGGGGAATCTGCTCTTTGGCGCTCAGTCGGAGCAAATGGCAATTTAGGTTTTCTTCAGATTTCCATTTCTTCCGATCAATAGCTAAAGAGCAGGTTTTCCCTTGGAATGGAGTGAGGTAAGGGGAAAACCACCTTCTAGGCATGGCACAAGCAGAAACATCCCCTTAGTGGGGTGGTGGCATTTTACCAGACAAGACCAGATAAAACGGTTTTAAAAAACCATTTGTACAAAAGTTCCCCCCCCTTCCGACTTTGCTTCTCCACTCTGTGTCCACCCGGATTCCTCAATCTCTGTGATGATGAGGGGAAGCGAGCCAAGATGGAAAATGATTTAGGAAAGACTCACTCAGCAGGAAGACACCAGGTCCTGGGAAAGAAGTTAAATTCCTTCGGAAAAAGCTTTAGCATCCTGCCCATGTTCCTGGCCAGAAGATCCTTCCTACAGATTTCCAACATCCCAGGGAAATGGTTTATTTTCTAGAAAAGGAGTCCAAGACAAAAGCCTGATTGTTGTCTAGGCCTTCGGATCTTTCTCATGAATGAAAAAATAAAGGTGGACGTTTTAGCTCCACCACTTCAGAAGGAACACCAAGTACCTGGTAAGTTTTCATTTCTAGCACCCGTTCCAGTGAGACAGAAAAATCTGTCCAATACAGAGTCCAATCATCAACTTCAGTTGCCTCCCGGAGGCCACACATCATAGCAGCCCGTCGCACTGCATCATAGAAGAGAGAATGGTGTCATCAGCATTTAATAGATACATCTGCAAGAGGAAACATCGGGTGGGGAGGCTTGTTCAACTCAGAGGGTCACATCAAATACACATCTAAATCTAAAATGCTGCCGCTAAGTTGTACATATTTTAATTGCATGGAATGAATGTAAGAGACGATAATTTGCTTGAGCCTGGAAGATGCCAAGATACAGTTGGTAGATACGTAATATTTATTCTGTATCATAACATTCCCCCCTGCAAATTCCTACCCTAGCCTTTATTTATTTAGATAATACACTTCATAAGGGACGCGGGTGGCGCTGTGGTTAAACCACAGAGCCTAGGACTTGCCGATCAGAAGGTCGGCGGTTCGAATCCCCGCGACGGGGTGAGCTCCTGTTGCTCGGTCCCTGCTCCTGCCAACCTAGCAGTTCAAAAGCACGTCAAAGTGTAAGTAGATAAATAAGTACTGCTCCAGCGGGAAGGTAAACGGTGTTTCCATGCGCTGCTCTGGTTCGCCAGAAGCGGCTTAGTCATGCTGGCCACATGACCCGGAAGCTGTACGCTGGCTCCCTCGGCCAATAAAGCGAGATGAGCGCCGCAACCCCAGAGACGGCCACGACTGGAACTAATGGTCAGGGGGTCCCTTTACCTTTGCCTTATTCCACTTCATATGCCAAAGAAAAGCTCTTTTGACAAACATTAGGCTGCCCTAAGTAATGATAATTCAAAAAATGCAATGTATGTGGCTGTGTTTTAACTTATATGTTTGTTACCAAAGTATATTTTCAACTACAGTTGTGACCCTCTCTCTCTCTCTCTCTCTCTCTCTCTATAAAGGTAAAGGTACCCCTGCCCGTACGGGCCAGTCTTGACAGACTCTGGGGTTGTGCGCCCATCTCACTCAAGAGGCCGTGGGCCAGCGCTGTCCGGAGACACTTCCGGGTCACATGGCCAGCGTGACAAAGCTGCTCTGGTGAGCCAGAGCTGCACACGGAAACGCCGTTTACCTTCCCGCTATAAAGCGGTCCCTATTTATCTACTTGCACCCGAGGGTGCTTTCGAACTGCTAGGTTGGGAGGCGCTGGGACCGAGCAGCGGGAGCGCACCCCGCCACGGGGATTCGAACCGCCGACCTTCCGATCGGCAAGCCCTAGGCACTGAGGCTTTTACCCACAGCGCCACCCACGTCCTCTCTCTCTCTCTATATATATATATATATTGGTAAAAAGATCTGGTCTTAACAAAATTCCAATTTAAGTATAGCACCATAGCTGGAGACTAAAAACGATGCAGTGACCTAGTGCAAATGGTGCTTTTCTCACTATTTAGAATGGTGACTGAGAAATAAAGCCATTCTATTATTTCACAACTGGGGACAAAGAAGGGCACTCACCACTCTCGTACTTGCAGTTGGTCAGATTTATCACTGGTCATCTGGAAAACAGAAGAAGAAGAAGAAAGACAGAGGCAGACAGGCAAAACCAATTCATGGTCTTATTGCAAAGCACCTGAGTACCTTCTGGGACCTCTTTTAAGATTTAAGCCTTTGTCTCCAGGTGTAGATGGTTCAAGTACCACATTGCCTATGAAGTCACGGAACGCCATAGGGGGCGCCATAACGATGATGTGAACTGGAAGGTGAGAGGCGGTGAGGGGGGGGGCATTGAAGTTTGGCATTGCACAGGGTGCTGCTGAAATTTGAGACCCCGAGGTCTGCCACTGGGGTTGTGGGTGTGTTGCTGCGAGTCTAATGAGTTTAATAAATAAAAAATATACAAAATAATTGGCTTCTAAGCAGTCTGAGTAAGTCACCAAATGTCATGTCAGCAAGAAATATAATGCCAGGTCAGGAAAATTGCTGCTATACAGAAATCTTCACCTTCTCCTGCATGACCCCAGGAATGGCTGCACAAAGCTGTGACCCTTTCCTTCAGAAGCCTGTCAGTATATCCATAACAATATGATATTGACAATTTTTTAAGAAGTCTTGCAAATAAGCTGCAAAGCTTTAGCTTTATTATTATTATTATTATTATTATTAGTCTGCTGAGCTCCATCTCTCCTGTAGCAACCCACTACATTTCAATACTGAGCACAGAGGAACAATGGAGTGCTCCATCATTCCCCCACAAGCCCCCTTTCTCATCTGCATGCAATTCCTTATATCTTGTGGCTATCAGGAAAACACTTAATTACAGGGCTGTTTTAGAATTAAAACCAGCAACGAGCTAAATCTTTTCAGACAGTGACAGATGCTGGTGGAAGTTTAGGAAAGGGAACAAGCTTCCTGCTCTCAGATGGGGTGCAGAGCGTTCTCCCTTGGCCCTGCATGATTGCACCAGGGTATAGCACCATAGCTGGAGACTAAAAACGATGCAGTGATCAAGATTTACTTCAAAGTTGCTTGCTCGCCGATCTCTGCAGTCTCAGAGTAAGTGAGTACATGACTCCCGGGGCCTTGGGTTGAGGTATCAGATGAACCACAAACAGTACGGTTCGTTTGGCAGAGAAGCTGCCTTGCTCTAAGGCCAATCGGGCATGCGGCTAGATTGCCAACAGCCAAACCTCAGACAGATTGGAAATTGCTATAGAGAGCAGAAGGTTTTTTGTTTTGTATGGGGGAAAAAACAACAGTGAGGAAAGCCAGTTGAATTTGAATGATACACCTGCATTCAGCTCATCACTCAGAACTGAAACTCACAGGGAGGCCCCAGACAAGTCCCTGTTATTCAGCCTATTCTACCTCAGAGGATAAACACATAAATGAAAAACTAAGTTAACGATATATCAATATGCATGCTGAGCATTCAGAATGGACTGGCATGATTGATTAGGAGGCAGTGGCGGACCTACATTTTGGGGGCTTGAACTGTTATGGGGCCCCCTTTGCAACCAGCAACAAGGTCTGGGTAACCACTGTTATCTTCTTCAATGGGGTTGTTTACAGCAACCTTTACAACACCTGTGCTATTGACTTTCAAACTTTGATACACACACACACACACACACACACACAATTAATCAATTTGAGTATGCGACTCATTTGGGTCTACTAGACCCAATTCTTTGAAGCAACGTGGACCAAAGTAAGTTCTGGGGCCTCTCCAGGTTTAGGGACCCTGAAACTTAAATTTCAATAGTTTCATAGAAGATTCACCCCTGGTGGGAGGTATATCAATATATGCTCTTTCATTCACTAATTTCCTCTTAGCACACCTGGTTTTCTCCCACTGCATTTGTATTGCACCCCTCCCCTTTCTCATTATTACCACAAGTTTGCAGTGCCTCCTGGTTGGTGCCTCGTATATTTTTATGACTTTCAGAATTACATTTCCTTGTCCCCATCCAGATGCCCCAAGTGCTTTCAATACTTATTTCTAACCTCCTTTTCTTCTTTCTCTTCTTCACAGCGGTGTTGGACCCGGAGCACAAAATTTTTCTGCTCTCTTCTTCACACACCGCTGTTTCCTGATCCGTGGCGTCCAATGCGCTTTCCTCTCTTTCCAGGCCACTTGAAAGGAACTCTAAGTCGGACACATCCTTCTCACCCAGCTCTTCCAGCTCTTGCCTCTCTGTGTGAAATGAACCATACCTTCGTGCTGAATCCGATACCCTCATCCTGTTAGTAAAAAGAAAAAAAGGCAAAGAAGTAAATTGGATCCACATTCCTATCCACTTTGTCTGCAGGTCCAAGGTGTTCCTTGTTAAGCAAATAAAAAGACATATTAATATGTCTTTGTTAATCTCTCCTTAATTGCCTGGACCTATATGAATTTCTCTGTATTTTGATAAGATCGCCTCCATCAGAAGGCAAGTCATGCAACATCTCTCTTTCCATTAATAACTATATCCATGTGAATGGACAAAGAAATGTACTATGACTCTCAGTCCTTTTACTGTCATGTTCACCATAAAGTGAATTCACCCTACACAGGCATTAGAGCTATCTTCCTTATGACAGCCAGTGCTTTTTAAATAGCTTACCCCTGCTCATCTCTATGGGTTCAGTCCTCCTTAGAGTCTAGAGTGCAATGTTATAGGCCAAAAGAACATGCACTTCACTTGAATGCCACCTCAGTACTGACATCTGATAAGTTGAATGAGAGAACCCTGGGTCTATCGAATCTACAGGATGAAACTTGAATCTAACAGTTCAAGTTCTCCTGCAAGCAAGCAGTTCAAAGGGAAGTTAAGATACAGTAAATGTTTTATCTGGGATCTGTGCATTTCATGGGTGGGGTTGATATTAATCGTACCCCGTCAAACATGCTTTTCTCCTAGGAAACTAGACCCTGTATGATAGAAAAGTTAGTCTAGCTTGTTCATCTACATGAACTTTGTAGCAGGACCCTCAAAATACCTGGATAAACAAGAGTGACACACTGACATGTAGCTATTCACACCGCTATTCCCTGGACAGAGAGACCTTGTGGAGAAAAAAATGGAGTTCTACTTTAGGTCAACCAACTCCTACCAAATTTTTAAAATCCCCACTCTTCAAAAACATTCCTAAAATATTTGGATGATCAGAAGTTTAAAGATAGGGAAGAACAGAACGCTGATTTGGAGGCATATTACTGAATTTGTAAAACAAGGCTTTTCAGGGTTCTTGTGTAAATGAGATCCTCTGTGTTGTAAGGCTTGGTCTGGCAAATAAAACCCAACTGTTTTGCCTAAAGCAGAGGTTATGCTAACATGTGATGGTGTGAAGGATTTCACAGAGCATATTAAGGGCATATTAATTTTAATAAGCAGAAGCAGAAAGCCCTGAAACAAATCAAAGTGAAGTGTAAATGTTAAGTTGTGGGTGAACATGTCAGACGACATAGCAATTCTTCAAACAGCTCTTGTTTATTCACAGCCAAAACAGAACTGAACTGAAGGGTTCAGCCAGCCTGCTTATATAGAGCTCCACTAGAACGCAACAGTAACCATTTTCCGTAACTATCCAATCATTGAACGTCACTTTCAATCCCTTATTTGCATATGTGGACCTGAGTGAAAACTATCTACAGTATCCCCCTGCTGGCCCAAGATGAGAACTTCAGTACATAACACTAAATATTTTAGCTTCTCTCCCCCCCCTTCAGCAGAAGGGAACAAAACTCAGGCCTCCTTCTCCTGCCCCACACAGAAAAAGACAAGTCCTGCACAGGACAAAGCAAGGTTGGAGCTCTTGCCTCCTTGCAGTTTCTTCCAAAGAAGCATAGGACAGGGAGCTCACTTCTGGACAACCTGTTTATTTAGCATTCATCCTGCGTGGAGATTAGGCTGCTGGCCATTTAATATGCATTCCTTCTCATTTATTTGTGGGGAGGTCAGATGGTGCTGCATAAAAGCAAGGATTTTCCTACACTTTCCTATGCACCTTCCTGCCATTTTCCTTATCACAAAAGTCCGATCTTTGGGGGAAAGCGGGTTTGTTGCACAACATCTCACAAGTAGCTATAACGGTGCAATCTGAATCTGCTGAGGCGTGACTGAACCCGACCCGACAACAGTGACAGCCTGGAGGTGCCTGGAGTGAGAAAGCTAGATTTCTGCCCAAGTCCCCCAAAGGACTGTGCATCCTGGTTCTGATTCATTCATTCATTTAGAACAGAGGCTTTCAACCTTTTTGAGTCCACGGCTCCCTTGACCAACAACATCCTTTCTGCGGCAACCCTCTGAGGCTCAGGAGCCCAGTTATGTCACCCTTCGCCTGCAGAGCTGGCAGCCTCTCACCCTTTTTTTGAACACTTTCCCTTCTGAAGGGTTCCCTCAGCCTCCTCTCCCCTCTCCTTGGGAGTCCTCTGGGCAGCCACTGCTGCCACCCCTGGTCTCTGAGCTGCCCCCCACCGCCCCAGAGGTGTCTCCTCACACTGCCCCACAGGGGCCTGGGACTTGTCTGTCCATTCCCAAGAGCAAGGGCTGGTGGACTGGCTGGCTGGGCTCCCTCGCCCGCTTGCTTGCTTACTGGCAAACCAGCACCCCTTGGCCAGCCCCAGAGGCACCATTCACCTGCGGAGCTTGTAGCCAGGGCTGCTGCAACAAACAGTCACACAAGCCTTTGGGAGGCAGAGACATGAGAAGGCATCAGAGGAGGGAAGGAAAGAGGGACAGAGGCCAGTGTTGCCCACGGCACCCCGGACCACCATTCAAGGCACCCCAGGATGCCACGGCATACTGGTTCAAAACCACTGATTTACAACATTACTATAACACCCCTCATTAAAAATTTCAGTGCAATCCACAACAATATAAATACATTCTTAATAAAATGTACATCAACACCTGCAGTAAGCCAAACAATTACTACGAGCTTGGTATCAAAAACCAGCAAATTGGTTTGCCCCAGTCTTGTTCATTCATGGTCAGAGGTTTGTGCTCACAAACACTGTCTGCAAAGCTCTAAATTGCAATTAGAACATGTTAAAAGCTCACTGACACTTATGGAGCAGATTGTTCCTTATCTTTGTGTGATGGTTTAGTAGTACAGTAGTATTTCATCCTGAACAAGGAGATTTTGAAATATACAATGCAATACAAAGGTTAAAAAGTATAGATATTGGCCTGAGTTGCAATAATCTATGCCAGAACTAGTAATTGTTAATTTCTCTAGGGAATTTCTTATAGTAAGTATATTAAATAGTAATGAAGTTGCAAAGAGTGGAAAAGGCATAGTTCCTTCATTCTTAAAAGTTGTCGCAACTGCTCTCAAACTTGACAAAGCTTTGAATACCAAACAAACACTCTGGATAAATGCAATTGACATTTTATTTCATGCAACTATAGCACTGCAGAGCAAAAACAATAATAAACAGAAGCAAGCACCATTGCTTTCAACAGGACTTCTGACATATATGTATAAGACCACACTGTTAGGCTGCAATCCTAAACATATTTGGAAGTAACTGCTACTTAAATAAACAGGAATTATATCTGATTAAACGCTGTTGGAATTGGAGGACATTGGGGGGGAATGCTAACATCTGGCAAAGGAGTCTATTTTTAAAGTAGTCACCTGAAGTGGTACTGTATATAACTTTGGACTCCCAATATGTTGAAAAACCATCAGGAAAAAAACACACAGCATGTTAGATAAGTGAGCAAATAGAGGTTAATCTAAACATAATGATGTTTACAACTGTGAGGCTCTCTCTCATATGCATAACTCCGCATTTGCTAAAACGAACCTGATCCTCTGACTCCATTCCTCATCATGGACTTTAGGGTCTTCCCAGATCTGTTCATAAGGCAAAGAATATCTTGTTGCAGTTGCCATCTTGAGGTCTCTAAGCAAGATTAAAAAAAAAACACACAAGTACAAGTCTCAGCCAATGAGATAACAAACAGCTTTGAATACAAGACTGGAGTAGTGACAGACTCTGGCACAAATCAGGAGTCATTACAAAATAATAATCAGTGGACACACTATGAAGGAAAGCCAGCAGAATCTGTCCCACTGTCACCAGGGAAATGTTTGTTTGTTTCATTAATGGTTGTCTGGACTTGTCTTTCCATTATTGAACATTGTTGATACTAGACTGCCAACGGCGTATCACGTGTTCACAATTTTCAAATGATAAAAGTTTGTTTTTTTAAAAAAAGACTGAAAGTGTATCTTACCAATATTACTTTTGGAAACTCAGTAAAACATGCTTTTAAAAAACATTTTAACTGCTTGGATGAAGAAAGGTTTTCCTGGTGTGGCTATGTGCAAATCCTGCAGCTTTATATTAGAATAAACGAGCTGAACGGTTAAATTGATAACAAAGTATTACTTCACCACTAATAGCTAAGCAAGCAAATGGGTAAAAAACTACAAACATCATACAAATCCAATAGTATTACTGCATGACAATGTAAAAATTAAATACAAATTGAGTGTACTATGCAGCCCATAATTTTCTGAGCTCTGCGCACACACACACACACACACAGACAATTTGACTAAGCAGATCATTTGTTTATATTCGGTTTCCCATGTTCTTAGCTTCGCGCTTTAGCACAGAACCATATGTGATGCATACCCTCCAACATTTCTCCTATGAAAATAGGGACGTCCCGTTCCATAATGATAATTTTACTGTTTATGCCCCACACGTCTTTATTTTGGAGGGTATGAAGTTATTCAATTCTGAGGCCGTCTGAAGGCAATCCTGTATAGAAGTGGTTTTCAACCAGTGTGCCATGGCACCCTCTTTCCTTCCCTCCCTCCTCTGATGCCCTCTCGTGCCCCTGCCTCCCAAAGGCTTGTGTGGCTGTTTGTTGCAGCAGCCCTGGCTACCAAGCTCCGCAGGTGAATGGTGCCTCTGTGGCTGGCCAAGGGGTGCTAGTTTGCCAGTAAGCAAGCAAACAAGCAAGCAGGTGAGGGAGCCCAGCCAGCCAGTCCACCAGCCCTTGCTGTTGGGAATGGACAGACAAGTCCCAGGCCCCTGTGGGGCAGTGTGAGGAGGCACCTCTCTTTGGGGCGGTGGGGGGCAGCTCAGAGACCAGGGGTGGCAGCAGCAGCTGCCCAGAGGACTCCCAAGGAGAGGGGAGAGGAGGCTAAGGGAACCCTCCAGAAGGGAAAGTGTTCAAAAAAGGGTGAGAGGCTGCCACCTCTGCAGGCGAAGGGTGACATAACTGGGCTCCTGAGCCCCACAGGGGTGCTGCAGAAAGAATGTTGTTGGTCAAGGAAGCCATGGACTAAAAAAGGGTTGAAAACCACCACTGTATAGGAGTTTTTTTTAAAAAAAAAATGTTTAATGTTTTTATTTATGTTGGAAGCTGCCCAGAGTGGCTGGGGCAACCCCCTTGCTTCTTGTGCTCCATTCTAGTTTATTTATTTATTTATACTTTTCAAGTTTATACATTTCACTAATTTGACAACAATTTACAATCGTTTTGACATTTCAAAGCTTGACTTCCTTCCCCCTCTTTCTGTGGTTCCTTAAATTTATTTTTAATACTGTATCTTCTGCATATCCAAATTAACTTAGTTTACTCATTTATTCATCTTCTTTAAAATATAAACTCTTATGAAACTGCAGGTTATTACAACAATCCTGCCAGGGTTTCTTATCTGTTTACAATTTATCTGTAAATATTCAATAAACCATTTTCATTCTAAATCATAGTTGCAGTGCCCAGTTCGCGCCCAAACCAGTCGAGCTCCCCTAAATCCACCTCTGCTAAGTTATATTGTGTCACACAGAGATGGGAGGGGAAATACCGTACCAATATTAGCTGTGATTTCTGTAGTGCTTTTTAAACGTTGGGAGGCTTGGGAAATATATAATGGGATCTGTAAGGGCTTGCTGTTATGACTTCCTCTGGTGAAAGTGGAGCTGGAGACAAGAGTTAGGGGACATAAATTAGCAGGCGCTATCAGATCTGAGTTACTAAGGGCTGGGTAAGGCAATAACTGGGAAACTGTCATGGCTCCACTCTGGTTAAAAGAAGGAAATATATGAAGGGGAGCAATAAAAACATAGTGAGTATATATTAAGAGGAAAGCAATTGCTTTGGGAAAGGCTGTCAACTTGCTAAGTGTAAGGGTGGGAGGCAGGGCCAGATTTAGGTTTGACGAGGCCCTAAGATACTGAAGGTAATGGGGCCCTTTATGTTAGCTGTCCTTTGTCAACAACAAATTGTTGCTGGTTTTTGTGTAGAATTTATGGACCTAATAGGTATCTAAAGCCACTTGCACATAGCAATATATATATACAAAGTAATTTTTGAACTTAAATACAAATAAGAAGTATATTAATAGTGAATTGGGGGGAAGAGAGTGGGGCCCTAAACTATAGCTTGTTTAGTACGTAAATCCAGTGTCTAGGGAACAAAGGCTGCATACACACCACAGATTTAAAGCAGTCACACAGATATGCGACACAGAATCCTGGGAATTTCCCACCACCCTAAACAAACTATAATTCCCTTGATTATTTGAGCTGGGGGCGGGGGATATGTGCTTTTAAACGGACGGTGTGCACGCAGCAAAATATAAAGGGGTGGGTGGAGGAAGAGCCTAGGAGCCAACACTGCATTTTTGTGTTTTAACAACTATTGCAATCTGCTCACGATCAGGCAGGCTAAAAGGCAGCTGACTTGGGAGAGTCGTGACAAGGCAGCAAACTGTTGCTTGGTTTTATTTTTGTCGTTGTAATTTTGCTACCAAGAAGTGGGGAAGGCGGGAGAGTTGCTTGTGGGATTCTCTGCCCTCAGGAGCCAGAATTAACTGTACAGTATATGCCTTTCGTGATAATGCGCCTCAACTGGTGAGAGAAAGGGCGCCATTTGCTGCTCCGCCAGAGGCAGTGAAATGTCTTTCAGTCAGCCATAGCTGAGGAGGGTTTCTACAGAGCACAGGACAGCCACATGCGCAAAGCAACTACTGCAGCCTCCATTTACAGAAGCCAAGCGCCTCTCGCTTTTTTGCCATGGAGAAGGCGGGGCTTGGTTTCGGTGGGGGCGTGGCCTCCACCCCTATTGCTGCCTTTGCTCTTCATTCTACCGCCCCCGCCCAACCGCCCTTCCTTTCCCCCTGCTTTGCTCTCAACCAACCTGCGCTGACCCCGCCTACAGACAAACCTCGCTCTTCCTTTGCTCCGCCTCATCGTGCGTAATTGGCTGGAACTGGATCCGAAACTGGATTCCATTTGGCCAAAAAAAGAAAAAGCCCACCCCCAAAGCGTGCTGCTTTTCCATTGGCCTAAACTACATCCTTGGGGGGTGACAACGAATCGGAAATGGCGATGTGGGATAAAAAAACCAGGGCGGAAACGTAGTTGTCATGGGGACGGCTTGGCGGCTGCGGCCTAGGCGCCCTCCCTAGCGCAAGGGCGCCTGCGCGCGGGATTCCATCGTCCCCTCCCCCCTCCCCTCCCGGCCAGGCGTCCTCTTTAATGCAGCGATTCCCCAATCTCGCACATGCGTACTTTCGGTTCCAACGGAATACGCTCCGAGAACTTTTCCTACGGTTCATCCACGCTGCATAAACATTAGCCTCGAGGACGAACTGCCGCTGCTTCTCTCTCTCCCCTTCGCTTCCCTCGCTGGTCACAGTTGGAAGGCGTAGCCAATCAGAGATCCTGAAGGACCGGCTAATTTGAATAAAGTTGAATTCTTTGCATTTCCTCCTTCTTGAATGGATCGCAGATAGAAAGGAAGAGAGAATAGGGGAGAGATGTGTAGTTTTGCTAGAGAATTGCCTCTCTCTTTTTCCACTCCCAAACCCCACCTGCAAATGCTTGAAACGAGGGTTAAGCCCCCTTGCTGATAATTTCCTGGCAGCAGTACAGTACAGTGGTACCTTGGTTCTCAAATGTAATCCGTTCCGGAAGGCCGTTCCAAAACCAAAGCGTTCCAAAACCAAGGTGCGCTTTCCCATAGAAAGTAATGCAAAACGGATTAATCGGTTCCAGACTTTTAAAAACAACCCCTAAAAACAGCAATTTAACATGAACTTCACTATCTAACGAGACCATTGATCCATAAAATGAAAGCAATAATCAACGTGCTGCAGTATAAAATAAATAAGACAGTATTGTTGATGATAAAAATTAAAATTTTTATTACCTGCATTGATGATAGTCATTCTTTGGATAGGGGGCTTTTATCCATTTCCACAGTGTCACAATCAGTAGCTGAACTGGGTTCCACACAGTCACAAGAACAAATTAACCGAAAAGCCTCAAAAACAAAAAATGCAAAATAAATATTAAAAATAAAAGGGCCAAACTTAATCCGTTCTGGAAGTCTGTTTGACTTCCGAAATGTTCGAAAACCAAGGTGCAGCTTCTGATTGGTGCAAGCGCCCCGGAAACAATAGCCGACAACTGCACCAGACTTTTGGCTTCTGAAAAACATTTGAAAACCAGAACACTTACTTCCGGGTTTTCAGCGTTTGAGAATGAAAGCATTTAAGTACCAAGGCGTTTGAGAACCAAGCTACCACTGTACTGAAGAAAAGTGGTGCCTTTATTAAACACCTGACCATTTTATCACGACATAAGCTTCTTGTGGACTAATGAAATCTGGCCAGCCCAGGGGTTCCCAGGCTGGTTTAGGGGCCACCAAGGAATCTGCGAGTTTCATTCAGGGTGGGGTGTCTGTAAAAAAATACAGTTTAAAATCAAACAGCAACCAGCTAGCACATAACTATTCTTGCTTGAATGTTTAGATACAAAATGTCATTTTACAGCTTTGTTAAGCACACACTCCATCTCTTCACTTCCTATTTGTATAGCAAATGTTGGCTGAATGTCCAGGTGCAGGAAAAGCTCTTAAGCAAAAAGTACAGAAAGTGAGTAAAGAACATCCTTCACCAAAAGCCAATGTGAGAACAGAGATTATGTGTGACTCTATACACACACACACACACACACACACACATATATTCTCCTGCGTTGGAGTGTAATAGAGACTTTCCAAGCTGGTCATCACAATTAAATTTATGGTCTGTACTGGTGATGCTGGTTTGGACCCAGACCTAGCCATGGTTAGAGTATAGATCCATTAAGTTAGTTTAAAAATAATAATTATTTTTTATCAGACAGCACAGTTATAACCATGTCCACTTAGAAATGAGTTCCAATGAATTCAATTGGACTTACGTGCAGGTAAATGAGGTTAGGATTGCAACCTTAGTCTGGATCCAACCTCTTCTGGTGACCGTAATTGTAATGTTTTATTTTGAAATTTTTAAGATAGTATTTTAGTTTTCTGTTATGTTGCTTTGACTGTATACTCTCTGTTTGACTTTCTTCAGATTGTTTTATTTATGTTTTATTTATTTAATATGCTGTAAACCGCTTTGAGATTTTTCTTAAAAATATAAAGCAGTGTAGAAATTTGAAAAATAAATAAATTGTGAGCCCCTTCTCTGCCCTTTTGAGAATAAAAACAGCTTACAGCTCAATATATAAAAGCTATAACTTTTAGAGGGAAAGGCTATCTCTAATATTTTATTTTTCATTTCATATTACAGGGTTAAACTTGAACCAGAACAAATACATAACAGCAATTGCATGGGATGCACTTTTTACAAATTGAGACAAGAATACCACCACATTTAATCAAGAGTACTTTATATCAGTCACTCCTGTGAACTAGTTAAAGTTTTTATAGTTTTTGTGAATTTGATGCCAGGCTTCTGTTGAGTGATAATCAGACAACCACCACCAGGCTGAAACCAATGGGATTAAAAATAAATAAATTATTGATTCTACTCTTTACTTGTGTGAATGCTAGTTTCTATTATTGACAGCAGAAAATAAATAAACTATAGAAATGTAGGTTTGGTCTTTGGTCTTTTGCTTTTGTTGCTATATTTCATATGCCTTATTACTAGGCTCTGCAGGCTCTTAAGCATTTTATTTTTTAAAAAATTATTAAAGCAGCCTGGTAAAACTGAAGTGAAACTGGTTCCACTTTCCCAAAGAGGCTCTGAGGATCTTAAAGAGTGGTCTTCTTTGTGGTATGGCAAACCTCTTTCTAAACTGAGGAGAATTTTACAAGCAATTTGTGTTGTCGGGAAGTTTCTTGTTCAGGGCGGCGGCGGCAGTTTAAACAGCAAAGGATACCCAAGCCCATGTAAACTGTGAACACTTAAAAGTAGCTCATTGGATGGTCTTGATCATTAAATTTCTGTCCCATCCTTTGGCCTTCAAAAAGACATCTTGAAAAGCAACCTTATACAGCAGGAAGTAAAAGAAAAAAAGGGGAAGCATCGCTTTTATCCATAAAGCTCTGTGGTTGCCCAAGATTTACAAGCATGCAGAGTGTGATTGTGTAAACTGTGGTACATTCTGCCTCTATCCCCCTTCAACCTTCCCAGTGATCCTGCCATTTCCTACTATGAAATCCCCCACCCCCTCTGAAGTATGAAAGGGGTCAGGTGACTCTAACCCTCCACACAACAGCTGCTTTCCCATTACCAACTGTTCAGATTTCCTAGCTTCTGCTCAGGGTCTCCCTCCCCTGTGTGCTACCAATCTATGTTGCTTGATACATGCTGCAGACTTGCGGTCCCCAAGGAGTGATGGAGTGATGGAAATGAGGGAGAGCATGCAAGGCAGAACTGCACAGATTTACAGTGCTCACAGGGTTTCCATTAAAATCCTTGACAACTTGTAATTGATGAGAGAGCCCTCCTGCTTCGCTAATAGCCCAGATCCTACTCCCATGATGCTGTCTTTGGAAGGAAAAAGGCTGGGCTAGACCATAGCAGTTAGCTCTGCTAGCAAAGTGTTAGAAATCTGGCCTGGCTTTCCAAGCCAATTGAGTGTTTGCGAACCACATTCTTTGATTGAGAAGAGGCTTTGCATTTCATCATGCAGACCCCTCCTTTTGGAAGAAGAAATCTACAAGTCCATTGATGAAATAAAGCGCAGGTTGATACAGAGTTCTTGCAGAGCAGATCTCTCTCAACAGATTTGTCCTAGTCTAGTGAACCCAGCTTTTTAAGTTTTCCCCATAGTTCTCTGATTCATGCTCTGATATCCGTGGTATAAAACTAGAATTCTGCCAGTGTGCTGCAACACTGTGGAATAATTGAAAACTGTTTAAAGTAATTGGTCTCTGACAATCCAAATGCCATACAGTCACAGAGTACAGATACACAGTCTATTGGGTCCTTAGAGACCTATAAAAGAACAAGCTCTTGTTTATGAGGTGTTCCTTGTAACTTTCTATTAGAATTTTTATCTAATAATAAATTAGTATTGTGCTGATAAAGAACATAATTATTCAGAGGGCAAAAATAAATAGTGTACCTAATTAGCAATCTTATTATTTTCCCTTTCTCTCACACTTTTCCTAACACCCAGTTACAGCCTAACATACACAACTTGCATACTAAATACAGAGTATTTGTGACAAATGAAAGTTAGCAGCTGAAAATTTATTGCCTGGTGGCTGAAACATTTACTGAAAACAGACATGTACTATAGCCTGGGGATAAATGTCAAAATCAAGCTTCATGTCTTATCATTTCTGTCATTTACTAGTATATCTGAAGAACCAACAAATACAGTACCCTCGTTAAATGTCCCCATTTCCCCCCCTCTTTCCCTTCAAGTATATATGCAGCTAAATGTTTGAAAAGCAGTTCCTTTCCTTATAATTCTGAACATTTCCTAGCTTGGCAATCCTGGCAAATGCTAACATACAGTCATCGGTGAATTTGCCAGTGGACAGTCAAGTTGGGAAATGGCCAGAATTCTTTAAAAAACAACAACATTGCTTTTCTGGCATTTAGCTGTATATATTCTTAAAAACAAGGAACCAACTGATTTACAAATGGCTGTGTATTCCAAGCCAATGTCAATAGACATGTAAAAAATGTGGTAATAATTGATGGACAAGTAACTAAGAACAAAAGGAGGGCTAAATGGGGCACTTAGCCGTGAATAAACTTGCCTCTGGGTAGGTGTACCAGCCTGTTGTCTCAGTGCCCCAACCCCCAACTCTTTGAGTCACTCTAGAAGGATTCGCAGCGCCAAAGAATGCTCCAACTACCGCACAATTGCACTCATTTCACATGCTAGCAAGGTTATGCTTAAAATTCTACAAGGCAGGCTTAAGCAGTATGTGGACCGAGAACTCCCAGAAGTGCAAGCTGGATTTCGAAGGGGCAGAGGAACCAGAGACCAAATTGCAAACAGGCGCTGGATTATGGAGAAAGCTAGAGAGTTCCAGAAAGACATCTACTTCTGCTTCATTGACTATGCAAAAGCCTTTGACTGTGTCGACCACAGCAAACTATGGCAAGTTCTTAAAGAAATGGGAGTGCCTGATCACCTCATCTGTCTCCTGAGAAATCTCTATGTGGGACAAGAAGCTACAGTTAGAACTGGATA